GGACAGTCTGCCTAGGACCAACTATGTTCTGGCAAGTCAGCTCACCCCATGCCAGAACCAGTCATTAACTGTTCACTGTAGGCCTTTGTAAGCCTGTGCCCTTTCCTTTTATATACCCCTGCCTCCTTTGTCTTCCTAGGAGCACATTTGAGCTTCTACTCGAATCTACTTCTCCTGAATTGCAATTCTTGAGACCCCCAAATAAACTTTTTGGTTCTTTTGCAGTTTTTGCCTCTTATTTGCTGACTTTACATAGTGACTGAAGTGGGATCCCTAGCTACTGACCTTCAATTCTGGTGCCACTTCACAGACACAAGCAAGGTGCCTGCAAAGAATCTTTTGTGCTCTGTCGTCTCCTCCTGGTGGCTCTGGTTCCTGGTGGTAAGTCCTCCTGGGCCTGGACCTCCCATTTTTGGTAGACGTCCAGACTCTTTATGTAGGCGTCCTTTGATACTGGTTCTGGCCATCCTTTCATTGTCAGCTTTGTTAGAAACTTCTGTTTCTTTCACTCCTTTTTTGAGCCTTTGATCCTTTGGTAAGTTCATACAAATGAGAAATCCATTATCTAAGAGGACCACCAAAGAACAGCCCCACTCTGGGACTCCTGCTGGTTTTGTCTTTAAAGAATACAGACCTTCTACATGTAGATTTTTGTCCCACTGGGCTCAGATTACTCAGGGTGATTTAAGGCTTCACTGGCCTAAATGGGGCTCCTTTGAAATTCCTAAATTGGTTTATCTGTGCACTCAATTGGAAAAAGCCTATCAAACCAAACAAATAAAATGGGAAACTTTTTAAAATTGGTATCTTGAGGCCTCTAAATGAAACACTGAAAAGGACACTTCCTTGCAAGCCATTAATTCTAAACTTGCTGAAGTCAATTCAGATCTCTCTCAAAGGCTTGGAAAACGAGAAAGATTGGCCAGTGCTTTCTCTGGTGCTGCAGCTGCTTCTGCTCCTCCCCACCCTCCACGCCCTGCTTACCCACCTCCACTATATCCTTCTCTGGCTGAACTTCATTTTTATAATGATTACTCTGAAGCTCTCCTTGATTCCGCTGCACTAGCAGCTCCCTTTAAAGACAGGAGATGGGAATAAACCCATATAGTACGCTACAGCCCCTGGACAAAATCTGAATTATTAGCTGTAACTAAGGGATTCTCCAACACCAACGAAGACCTTATTAAACTTGCAAAAGAATTTGACCTAATTATTGAAACTTATCAACCTGGCTATTCAGATTTGTGTCAACTTATCCACATGCTTGTGGGAGAAGGGAAAGCCAAAGAATGGTTTTCTAAAGCAGGATGGAACAATCCCATGGAAGACTTTCTAAGTATGGCAAGGGAGCCATGGGAGATGTTTGTGTTAGCTAAAAGACTTCATGAAAAAATTCCTAATGTCTTCCCAAAGATTATAGACTAGAAAAGGATTCAGTAAGGTATACAGAAATCCAATGAATCTGTGTTTAACTGTTTTGACAGATTTGAGAAGGCTTTTAAACAATATTCCGGAGTTGACATCATTAATTATGAAACTTCCTCCCTGTTTAATTCAACTTCTGTCAATGGGTTGGAAGATAAACCATTGTCAGCTTGTTAAGATGACAAGAGACAAACAAATCTCATCAAGACGTCAGCCTAGGCAAACTCTGAACTCGCCTCCTCCCACAAACACAACCAGGTTACAACTAGTCTTGGAAAAATTACCCTGGAGAGAAAACTGTAAACTAAAAACTGGATAAAAAGAACTCTCACAACAAGGGACAGTCCTGACTGAGGTAAAAGAGGCAGAAATTCCTTCTGGAGAGAAAACAAGCCACCTTCATGAGCAGCAGAGCTTCATAGCCAAATGAGTGAGAACCATCCTAAAGTACCCAGCCCTCCCTGGAGAAGTGGGGACCTTAGTGGGAACACATTACTGCTATAAGTATCCTTCAGACTCAGCACAACTAAGACAAGTGTCCTACTATCTGGCTTCACTGGCTATTAACTGCAGCGGGGAATACCCCAAGAAAAGCTATCAGATGAAAGCCAAAACTCCCAGTTCTTAAAGGGCGCACGCACAATTTCACTCATTACAGAGAGCAACCTAAAATCACCAAAAAGAAAGGTGCACAGTCCTTTGGTGAAAAGAGACTCACCTGGTAGGCTCTGGGTGAATCTCAGTGAGAGATAAGACCTCTCCAGAGACTGAGACATTGGTGATGGCCATTGTTGTGACCTAGAACAGATGTGCTGACACAAACCTTGGCAGATGCTATTGAAGTTGTTCCCCTGGCCTGTTAGCCCAGGGGTCTACCGTGCCCACTAGAGCACAGATTTAATCCAGTTTAGCCAGGGCAGACAACCCTCCCTAGGGACCAGCCCCACCCAACAGCAAGCCCTCAGGCTACTTGTGGGCCTGCATAGACTGGGTGCCTTGATCCTCTACAGGCAGGTGAGTGTGTCGGACTCTGTGGGGCAGTGCCTGTGCAAGGACCAGGTGAACTGTGGGGGGCATTGATGGAGAGGTGGGGGCCTCTGCAGTGGGGTGAGTGGGTATACTCCAGGGGGGTCAGGAAGTTTGCATGGGCTAGGGCTGTGTTGACAGTGTGTGTGGACCTGTGGGTGCTGGGGCTTATCAGTGGCAGAAGACCTGTGCTTCACAAACAGCCACAAAGAAGATCAGCCCCACCTTCCAAAGCCTGAAACAATTGGGTGCTCCCATGTGTAGGGCCAGCCCCACTCAGTTGCAATCCTAAGAGACCTGACAACAGCCTTGCAGGCCTGAGGCCTACAGCAACTGTAAGCCGCTGAGCCTAGCAACCAGCCACACTGGGTACCTACTCAATTAACAGGAAAACTGCAACAGGGGTGTGCTGTTAGACCCTGTACCCCATGGTGGTGGCGCTCCCCAAACCTGATTTACAAAGAGCCGGCCAGGGAGGGAAAGACTACACTCTCTGGGTACCTGCACTAAGAGCAAGCCTACCACAGCAGAAGGAATAAGTAGCCCATGCAGGGGTCACTCCTGGATCATCTGGACTGGTGATGAGAGGGAAGCACGCTGCTGGGCCTCAAAAGGCATCTCTAACATAAGACCACTTCTCCAAGATCAGGAGACATAGCTGACTCACATAACACATAGATATAAGCACAGAGAAAGAGGCATAATGAGGAGACGAAGGAACACATTCCAAGTAAGGGAACAGGACAAAACCCCAGAAAAAGAACTAAGTGAAAAAGAAATAAGCAATCTACCTGACAGAGTTCAAACAAAAACTCATAAGGATGCTCACTGATATTGGGAGAAGAGTGGATGAATACAATGAGAATGTCAACAGAGAATTAGAAAATATGAAAAAGAACCAATCAGAAATGAAGAATACAATACTGGAAATGAAAAATTCACTAGAGGGACTCAATAGCAGAGTAGATGATACAGAAGAATGGATTAGTGAGCTGGATGAAAGAGTAGAGGAAATCACCCAAGCTGAACAGATAAAAGAAAAAAGAATTAGACATAATGAGAACAATCTAAGGGAACTCTGAGACAATATCAAGTGCACTAACATTCATATAATAGGTGTCCCAGGAGAAGAGAGGGGAAGAGAATCTATTTGAAGAAATAATAGCTGAAAACTTTCCTAATCTAAGGAAGGAAACAGACATTCAAGTACAGGAAGCACAGAGAGCACCAAACAAGATGAACACCAAGAGGCCCACACGAAGACACATTATAATTAAAATACCCAAAATTAAAGATAAAGAGAGAATCCTAAAAGCAGCAAGAGAAAGGCAACAAGTGACAGACAAAGGAAAGCCCATAAGGCTATCAGTGGACTTCTCAGCCGAAACCCTACAGGCTAGAAGAGAGTGGCATGACATATTTAACGTGCTGAAGGGAAAAAACCAACAGCCGAGAATACTCTATCCAACATGGTTATTCAGAATGGAAGGAGACATAAAGAACTTCCTAGACAAGCAAAAATTAAAGGAGTTTATCACCAAGAAACCAGTTCTACAAGAAATGCTGAAAGGGCGGCCAGCCCTGTGGCCGAGTGATTAAGTTCACATGCTCTGATTCTGTGGCCCAAGTTTCACCAGTTTGGATCCTGGGTGTGGCCATGTTACTGCTTGTCAGACCATGCTGAGGTGGCATCACACATGCCACAACTAGAAGGACCCACAACTAAAATATGCAACTATGTACTGGATGGGGGAGGTTGGGGAGAAAAAGCAGAAAAAAAAAAAAGAAGATTGGCAACAGTTGTTAGTTCAGGTGCCAATCTTTAAAAAAAGGAATGCTGAAAGGACTTATTTAAATGGGAAAGAGAAGACCACAAATAGTGATAAGAAAAATTATCATGGAAAAAAACCCCACCAGTCAATAAAAATCACTGGTAAAGGCAAAAATATAGTAAAGGTAGCAGATCAATCACCTATGAAGAAAATATGAAGGTTAAAAGACAAAAGTACTAAAATTACCTATTTCAATGAAGAGGGTAATGGATAGAAACACACAAAACAAGAGATTAGATATGATTTCAAAAACATAAAATGTGGGAGGAGGGGAGTAAAAGAATAGAGCTTTTAGAAAGAGGTCAAGCTACAGAGACTATCAGCTCAATACAGATTGCTATATATGTAGAATATAGCAATGGTAATCATAGTAATCATAAACCAGAAACCTTATAATAAGTAAACAAATAAGTAAGAGGAAAGAAATCAAGCATAATACTAAAGAAAGCCATCAAACAATAAGGGAGAAGAGCAAGAGAAGAAGAAAGGAAGAGAGAAGAACTACTAAAACACCAAGAAAATAAAAAGTAACAAAATGGCAATAAATACAGATTTATCAATAGCTACTTTAAATGTCAGTGGACTAAATGCTCCAATCAAAAGGCATAGGGTGGCTGATGGGATAAAAAAACAAGACATGTATATATGCTGCATACAAGAGACACACTTCAGACCTAAGGTACTCACAAACAGAAAGTGAAAGGATAGAAAAAGATACTTTAGGGGCGAGCCCAGTGGCACAGCAGTTAAGTGTGCACATTCTGCTTCAGCGGCCCAGGGTTCACTGGTTCGGATCTTGGGTGTGGACATGGCACCACTTGGCATGCCATGCTGTGGTAGGCGTCCCATATATAAAGTGGAGGAAGATGGGTGTGGATGTTAGCTCATCGCCAGTCTTCCTCAGCAAAAAAGAGGAGGATTGGCAGCAGTTAGCTCAAGGCTAATCTTCCTAAAAGAAAAAAAATACTCCATGCAAATGGCAAAGAAAAGAAACTGGGAGTAGCAATACTTATATCAGACAAAATAGACTTTAAAACAAAAACTGCAATAAGAGACAAAGAAGGGTACTACATAATGATAAAGGGAACAATCCAACAA